CCGGGACCTCGTTGGGGGCGGGGCCAAGGCCAGCGTCCCTTAACTCTCGGGAGGAAACCCGACAGCCCGACCTCCGGGAGCGAGGCCTCGGGCAGGGGCGGAGGACAGACCACCAGGAGGCAGCTAAGGGGGCGTGACCCAGGCTCCGGGGCGAGGCGTTGGCGCCCGGAGAGAGAGAGAGAGAGAGAGGGACTCCGAGCCCACCTCCCGAGGGAGCGGGAGAGAAAATTCCCCCGGGGGCCGGAGCCTGACACTGCCTCCCGCGGCAGCGCGGGCGCGGCCACGCAGCTGCTGCTGGCGCTGCACCAGGTGATCTCATTCCTTCAGCGGGCCCGGAGAGGCGAGAAGACGCCTTCTGACCTCTCCCCAGCTGCAGCCCCCCAGGATTCACCGCCCTTTACCGAAGCTTCTTCCCCAACTCTGTTAGACGGAGCTGCCTTTTCCAGAACAACTTTTTGGAAAGTTTTCATCCCCTTAGAAACACATCGTTTTCCCTCCTCCGATGTCTTCGTTTTTCCCTTTGACTTTCTATTTTGGGAGCTAGCGTATTAACATATTTATGAAGCCCTACTGTGTTCCCAACTGGAGCGATAAACAGTAGGGATAGGATCCCTCTGCTCCTAGAGCCTAGTCTTGAACTGCAACCTCATTGTCTGCAGGCCACGGGACTCCCAAACTACTGTCAATGCTGTTCCTCCTGCCTAGACCGATTTGCTTCCCCCATTCACCTGCCACTTGAATGTGCATCAGATTCACCTGGGTGCTACACCCAAACCTGCTTTATCCAATTCTCTGATTCTACTTTAGAGAAAGGAGAAATGCACATTTTAACGAGCACCAGGACAATTTTGATGTAGGGATCCTCAAACCAGAAAAACTGCACTGTGAACAGGAGCGGGGATTCTTTGAGCCAGGAACCTGGTACACCATGTCCAGGTTTGCTACTGTTGAGTGCCTGGGCACATGTCACCCCCTCTGGAAGCAGTTATTTGTTCCCTCTTCTGACTTTCTTTAATGCTGGACTCAGCTTCTCCCACTTCCCGCGTTTGGTTGAATGGTTCCTGGGAAGGCCAAACGTAGGAGTTTGTCTCCATATCCTCACTTAGCAGTAAATTTCATGGATGATTTAATGTTTGAAAAATTAAATGTATGCATAAAAATCAATGAAACCTGCAGTTTCTTTCTCTCCCAGACCAATGCAAGTCGCTCACATATTGTTTAGAGACTCTAATAAAGAGACAGTGGGCCCCATAGGTTAAGGAACACATGTTCTGGATAAATTGTCCTGAAATTTCCAGGCCTCTAAACCTCTAAGCCTCAGTTTCATTATCTAGAAAGCAGATGAGAGGGAGGGCAATTACTGGAAAGTGCCACTGTCCTGTTCAGTCAGTGATGGCTGTTATCACTGCATTGGGCCCTGTACTATCCCTGTTCACCCCTACAGGCTGGGATGACATCGTATTGAACTCCCTCCATGACCAGCTTGTTTGTTGAAAAAGAAAATAACACCAGGAGTCTTCCCCCTAAATGGGGATGTGAACAGAAAACAAACTGAATGCTTGGCTGGACGGACTCTGAACCCAGTGTTAGTTTTACATGGAATCACAAGGTATACCAAAGTTCCCTTCCAGCCTCCCCCTTCCCCCACGCCTGAAAAGAAACCAAAAAGGTGAACCAGGTCAAAGGAGATCCAAGAAGATCCAGATCTAAAAGATCAAATGGAATCTCAAAGAAAGCCCCAGACTTGCCCTGAGGCAAAATACCATTTCAAGGTTGTTTTCGGATGTATGCCTGAGGGCTTATGAAAATTCAGTTGGAATCAGGGAATATTGACAGTAGTATCTGTTGCAGGCCCCAAAGCTGGCCTCGCGGCACAAAAATATAAAGATAACCAGGGCCTAAAAGACTGAGGAGACCAGGGATCTTTAGGCCTCATTGACTAAACCCAGATCTTAGTTGGGAGGAAGCTGGCAGCATTGTCCTCCACAGAGCCTTGAGGTAGTGATGATGATCTCCCAGGCTCAAACACAGAGCCTCTGCTTAGAAACCTGGTCAGTCACTCACACCAGGATTTCCCAATTTCCACTCCTGTGGAAGGTGGAGCTGGTCTGCTCTTGACCAAATATACTCTAGACAATGTTTATTCAGGGAAGGGTCCATAAGTACATAGCCTTCAAGTCTCATCTTTGACCTTCAAAAGCATGCATATTTTGCATTCTATACTCATATTTTTTTATAACAGTACACACTAATCTCGAAGATGGGTGGAGATGTGTTCTCCTCTCTCCCCTACACACACACCTTTCTGACCTCATCTCTCCTCATTCTCCCCTTTGCTCTTCACCCCAGCCAAGTGGCCTCATTACTATTCCCTGAACATTCCAAACACACCCTTGCCTCAGGGCCTTTGCACTTGCTATTCTTTCTCCATAGAACATTCTTTCCCCAGAATTCCTGCAATTTCCACTCCCTTGCCTGCTTCCGGATTGCTCAAATGCCACCTTCTCAGAGAACTCTCCCCAAAAGCCATCCTATTCATAATTACAACCTGTTCTATCTCATTCCACCCTCCACTTTCTCTCTATAACACTTACCACCCTCTGACATATATTTTACTTATTTATTTGCATATTATCCTTTATGCATATTTGCACATAGAACATAAACTCCATGAGGGCATGGATTTTTTTTTCTTAATTGGTACAATTATTTAAAATATAGACTAATGATTCTGTGCATAAATGTTGTTGTCGTATGCTGGTTTCCATAAAACATAACTAATCATAAGGAGCTCTTCACCAAATATACTCTAGACAGAAGAAAAAGGTAAATAGAAATGACTGACAAGACAGTGCCACTGCAGGCGTAATTCCCTTATTTAATTAATACTTGCTAGAAAATGGAATTTGACATTATTTACGATTATACTAACATTCATGGAGGTTGACTATCACAGGTAGAAGGGCATACCACGGCTACAAAACATCTTCCACACTTTCCAAATAGTTTTATATTTTAGCTATGAAGATCAGTTACCAGAGCCAAACTTGTTCTTAACAAGTAGAAGTTTTATGTCCATTCAAAGAGTCTCTATGTCTCTCTAGGCCTAGTCATTTGCAGATTGATTGGCAAAGTAGAAACTGTAACCAGGTTCTTCATATTATGCAGTCACATGTGATGCCCAATCTTTATATGCTGTCCAATTTCTTTAAGTTAAATGAAGTGACTCGCAACAGGATCGTGTAGATGAGGAAGTTCCATATGCAGGAGATCACCTCCTCATGCATCTTCTGTTTCATTTCCTGGGAGTCCAGCTTCCATGCATCACGGCTCTGCCTCACCGGCGTCCAGCTGCTACACTCCAGGGATCTTGTTTGATTTTTGTTTATGGCTAATATTCCCAGCTCATAGAACAGCTCATGATACACAATAAAAACTTATGGAATGAGTGGATGTGCCATATTTATGCTATGATTTCCTGTACCCCTGGCATACTCTTTGGAGGGTCCTGCTCACCCAATCTGAGAAGCCGGGTGGTTTGTGTTTGTTTATAATTGCTTCTTCATCAGGGGAGAATTTATGGAGACATCATCTTGTCCTTTGGAAAACCTGTCTTTTTTTTGAGACCTGGCTTTTATCCCTCTGTAGTGCTGCTGGCTGACTGTCTCGATTCCATTTTGTGCAGTTAAGGCAGCAGAGTGAAGTGCTGTGTAAATGGGCTCTGGGGTCAGACAACTAGGGTTCTACTTCTGACTCTGTCATTTGCTAGCTCAGATAACTTGTTTAACTTCTCCATGCTTCAGTTTCTCCTCTGTAAAATGGGTTTTAAAATAGTACATATTTAATAGGATTGTTGATAAGTAAATCTATGTTAAGTGCTTGGAATAGTGCCTGGCATGTGATAAGTGCTCTGTAGGGACTAGCTGTTGCTACTATTTATTAACAAAAAAAATTTATTAACAAAACATCCATGGGCATAACACCTACTGGACCAGCTGTCTTCAACATTAGTTGCAAAGAAAAAATAGCTGGACATCTATTACCAACAATAAGAAACCTCATGAAAGTGATTAAAGTTAATATGTTTTTTAGAAATCAGTGCCTTTCTGTGAAGCCCCACCAGTTAAAAACTATAATGGAAGAAAAGTCCTCATTTATTAAAAGCAACCAAAAATATAAAGATATCTGAGAAATAGGAAAGCATCTTAATAATATGTGCAAGTTTCATTCGAAAAAATGTTAATGCTTTTGAGAAACATATATGTATATGACAGAATATATATACTCTCAAAAAAATGTTGAAAATGCTTAAATGGACAG